CTCCGGCAACTCTAAGGCAGCCCAGCTCCAGGTTGAGCTGTTGTTCAGCATCTTAGCTGTAGAGGGCAGTGTCATTGGCCCTCATATGTGGGATCCGAACCAGGGCCCTCTGGCGTCCCAAGCCAGTTCTTAACCATTGCGCCACTCGGCCGGCCCTGTCCGTGGGTTTCTTATTGTTGTGTTATACTAGCTTCTCTTCTATTTTTGGCAAAGGATTTGAAAGACTCAAAAACTATGCCATTGTCACTACCATTTTGTTGCTAGCTTTTCTTTGTGTTTTAAGCTAACTTAGTATATCACATTTCCCACCACCCCATATACACTATTTCAGTATTTATCACCATTTCACAGGTAGATAGTAACGGAAGATTAAATTGCCAAGATCATACACTGGAACTCATCTGCAGTCCACTCCATGAGATGTAAAACCGCTATTAGAGTTACTAGTTGTGGCTTGGTAACAGTAATGACTATACTTTATATGGGTCTAAGGAAGCTAACAGGAGACTTTAGTTTTCAAGTGACTTAATCAGATTTTTCTGATTTGTCTTTTTGATTATATATTACCACCCCTCCCCTAATCAAATAACAAAATGTATATTACAAAGTATTTCAAATACTGCTTCCTTATTAGCAGAATGTACTAAATTGGTAAATTAAAGAGCACACAGAACTACATACTACAAATGATATACGTATATTGTTTTCAAACTGGTCTGAGGCTAGGGCTCCAAAATAAAAAATAAAAGCAAAAATTTTACCTCTGTGAGACGTAGCTGTGATGATATAGCCATATAATCTGATTCTAATTTGTTCTTCTCGGAGATCACTGTAGTATTTTGAAGAATTATATCTACTTTTTGTATATGCAAAGAAGTGCAAATCTAGGAACAAAACCCGTAAGAGTTTAATTTGTTTTACAATTAAGAAAAATAATACATTAAAATTATAAACCATAAAAAAATATTTTTTCTAATATGCCTGATACCTCTCTCTCAAATAGTTCCTTTTTTATAACTTTCTCACAAGAGAATTTTAAAAAGTTTTCTTGTGTATTTTATTGAGTCACCTGGAATAAAATAATTTCACCTATTGGGTACTTTAACTAATTGCTTGACCTATGATGAAAAATGTCAAATAACAGAGCAAGCTTAAATTGTTTACAAAAATCTCTTGCTAAGATTTTACTACCTTGTCTTATCTACTTGCTATAAAAATATGACTAAAATTAAGAAAATGCCTTACCTTAATCAGGGTTGTTAATTCGGTAACAAGTTTTGCTTTCTGAACATTTATTTCTTTGATTCTGGTATTTGCTTTTTGCTCTTCCTCTTCAAGGTTGCAAGTATCCTGTTCCATCAGCCTTAAACTGTATGAAACATATAATGATGTAGAAATCAAAGTTATACACAAGGATTGAACTCAAATCCTTAGGTTCCCTGCTGTTTTATGGGCTACTTAGCAATGTTACCCAAATGTATAAACTGTTAGCTTCTACATTAAACAACCATTTTATGCAACCATTCAGGATCAAAAAGTATGTGAGGTATGTATTATGTACCCAAGGTAGTCTAGGTAATGTTAGTGCTAATGGCATAGGATCCGGAATCAGAAAGATATACCTGAATTTGCTCCTTGCCACTAATAAGCAATATAACTAACTGGACACGTTACTTTTCTGAGCTTCAGTTTCATCTAAAAATTTATAATAATAATAGTACCTCTCCTGTAGGGCTGTGGCAAAGATGTAAAATATGTAATACATTTATTTAGTGCACAGCCAATAACTGATTGATAAGTATTAGTTGTTACTGTTATTAGTATTGTTTAAATATAACCCCTTCCCTTAAGGAGCTTAACTGGAGGGCGGGGCGGGAGAAGGATTTGATGAATAGGTAAAAAAACAAAACGAAACAAAAACAACTCATAATGGAAAGACAATACAACAATCATCAAAGTAAATACTTTGCTCTTTACTTTAAGATGAAGAAACTCAGGCTCAGAAGTTAAGTTACCTAAAATCACAGATTAAGAGGGAAGATGTATTTGGCACCAAAGTCTAAGTGCTTTCCACTATACTATGTTGCCATCAGGGAATAAAGCAAGAACAAAGGATGGAAGCAATAATGAACAAAAATGAACAAGTTCAGTGGATGTTGTAGAAAGAAGCCTGAATGGTACATGGAGAGTATTGAGGAGAGAGGGAGATAAGCTGGAAGGGGTGGAGTAAAACAAGATTGTGAAAAACTTAAAAGTCATTTTATTTTATTTATTTATTTTTTTTTTTAAAGCTGAGCCATCCTGCTACCTGTTGGCAGCTCAGCGGCTACTCAGCTCGGGCTGGACTCGAACTGCTGTTGCTCAGAGCTCAAACTCTTGAGCGAGCTCTTAACCAACTGAGCCACTCGGCCGGCCCTAAAAGTCATTTTAAGAGAAAGTAGAGTTTAATTAAATTTCACATAGTAATGGCAGGAGACCACACCGATATTCTTGAATGGGGTAGGAACATGAAAGGAAGATAAATTAAACCACAGTATTCTGGAGGCACTGAATGGAGAGGGGACCAGTCAGGGAGAGACCACTCCTCAGGTCACCACTGCGATAATCCAAAGTGTATTACTGTAGGTATGAGACAGTGGGCTGGTAATGAGTATGAAAGGTCATTTCTCTACAAAAATCAATATTACTTTATGAGGAGAAAATTTAGTTTTAGACAATACAACAGTCCAATATAGCAGTTGAATAGTAAAGGTTAAGTGTTTGTAGATGACTGAAGATAGGAATGAAGAGAAAGGTTAAAGTTGAAAACAAAGGCTTAAAGTTGAAAAAAATTCTAGGCAGTTAGACTAAAGATACATCTTGCCTTAAATAACCAAGGTATATTATTAACTTTTAAAATAGAAGTTAGTGATAATTGTTTGCTTTAAAAAAACAATGAAGAACAAATTTTCTTGGTGCATCTCAAATATGATTCAATTTGTGGAGTGCTGACTGCAAGCTGACATGGTCTTTGCAGTCTGGGATTTCAGCCAAAAGCTGACCCCATTGTCCTCTCCCCCTTGCTCGTGGGTCTGCTTTGGGCAGACTAGCTCCTTCCTTCTGATCTTTATTTAGAGACTAGCTCCTTGGTTGAACTTGCCTACTTCTGCAATTTGTAATCACAAGTCTAACTATGCAGAACTAGAAAAGCATGCTGCACCAGATAGCTATTCCCCTGTTCCTCTTTTAACTTCCTGAAACAACATCCTGACGGTAGCTATATAAAATAAAGTGTATCTGATTATTAGGGGCTCTTGCAAGCCATCAGCTTGCAGGGACCTCCCGATCTCATCTTTGGCTCACGTCTTGTTCTTTCTCATTCCCCACTGTCCTCCCTCGGGTCACCAGCTGGCAACATCAATTTAGGAAGTATTTAGAAATATTACTATATTTGGTCAAGGTAAACAAACTTATACTTTACTTAAGGCAATGAACTGTCATTTACTATTAAAATATGACTTATTATGTCATTAATATCTATATCTTTATTCTACAGGCAAGAAGAATGAAAGAACAAAAGGATGTGAGCTATGACATGGTAGGGTATGGGAAAAATTTTGAAACTGTAAGTCACTGTTGATTTCCCCTGACAGTAGGATTAAAGTTTGAGAGAGAATTTATTACAAAGTGTGCTTGTGGGATTTGTGGTGTCATTCCAGGGTGAACTAGTAACATCCCCATACTGCTTTGTGCCCCCAGCCCACACCTCGCCACATAGGCTGCAAATTACCTTTCTAGTTTGGAGCTAATTTTCTGTTCCAGTTGCCTCCTCTTGGTTTTTCTCTCAAGCAGATCCTTCTTCTTTTGTCTGAGTTCATTATCTTTGTGTTCTAGATGTTTGTTTGTCTCACGTAAGGCCATCAAACCTGATTCCACTGCTCGCAATTTTCTATTAACTTCCTATTGGATATTCAAAATTATTAACGTATTTTAAAAAGAGTTCTAGTTAAAGCTTTATAAATCCAGTTAATATTTTTTTCTAACACTCAAAATAACCAACCGTTAGATGTTCTTCTAAGCGTCTTCTTTGCTCTAGATCCACAGTAACTGTGAGAAACTGGGCTACTTTTAAGGATGTGTTACTAGAAATAACTTTGTTTGAATAAACAGAAGTTTTCACCACATACTTTTCTTCTGCTGTATACATTTGTCTGATTCGTGTTTCTTGTATTACCTACAATGTAAAATAAGTATTAGTGCACATCTAATAATAATTATGATATATTTAAAAAGACTAAAGAACTAAAAATACAGAATATCAAAATATAGATGTAATTTCGTTTTTTAAAACTTATCCAACAACATCTCTAAAAGACTGGTTGATACATTTCAGGTTATTATTTTAGATAACACCACCAAGGAAGAGAGAATTAGAAGAAAACCAAAACAACTAGCAAAGTTGGCTCCACTCTACTTCGCTATATCACCTCTCCCAACTAAGTGTACTTCTGGAGCTTTGCTGTATCTACAGAAGAGATACCAGGGCCAAGTGTCCATTACTCTGAACTGTGCTTATGTCGGCTAAGTCATTTGCTCTCCCTTCCCCTCAGTTATACTGTTCAAAGACACACTATCTTACATTCAATTCCTGTATATTTCAGAGAATACTTAATGGAAACACTTTTCAAGGATTTCAAAGACATTTTTGTATTTTGGGGGGATCTTTTCTCTCAAGAACTTATACAGAAGTTTCAGAAAGTACATTCTAAACACCTTAACATTAATTAGATCTATTTCTGTCTATTTTTATTTTTTCATTTTTTACTTTTTTAGCTGAGCCATCCTGCCACCTGTTGGCAGCTCAGCTTGGGCCAGGACTCGAACCGCTGTTGCTCAGAGCTGAAACTGAGTGAGCTCTTAACCAACTGAGCCACTTGGCCGGCCCTATTTCTGTCTAATTTTAAAGGATAAGCTGCTGCAATGCAATTTTTTCTAATCTCTACAGGTTCATTACCAATACTCTTGTGGGATGTTTCTCTCCAGAAGTTTATAGTCTAAGTGAAGAGTGAAGACATATTTAAGCACACTTAGTTTAATAGGGTATCATCTGGCATCTCTAAATGATGAATAATTTGGAATGAAAGGAAAGCCTAGATGAGGTTAGCCTACCCAAGTTTCATGAAAGTGAGTTTTAAATGGGATCTGAACTGACAAGAGATGGTGAGGGGAAGACACAACCACCAAAAAAGGACCTCATGAGCTAAGGGGGTCAGCAGACAATTTAGCCAAAAGGGAGAGCCTTAGAAATTAATGAGAGAACAATTCCGGAGATAGGTTATAATTATAATCATTGTTAGAAACCAAAAATGTTAGGACTCAATAATAAAGCAAAACTTACACTTAAAAATGTATTTTTAGTCTAAGGATGAAATATAGCTGTTATTGTCATTACCTAGATGTGAAACAGAAGGATTGAGGATATAAAGACAGTAAATTTTCTCAACGAAGATTTCTATTTTCTGAAAGATAGCTAAGATAATGCCAGGGGCTTTATGAAGAGTCTAAAACACTACCTGACTTGGCTTTACTGTACATTCACATGTCTGAGAAGTGTCTCATCATAATTTATAGAGTATTTACATACAATATAGCACTGAGTTGGGCATCGGAACAATAAAGTATAAGAAATCGTCAATGTGTTCAAGGATTAAAAAAACACTATCACCTATATAAAAGCAGAGATTAAGGTTAATGAAAAATACTTGAGCCAGCCGAGTGGCTCAGTTGGTAAAGAGCTCGCTCAAGAGTTTGAGCTCTGAGTAACAGCGGTTTGATTCCCAGCCCGAGCTGAGCTGCCAACAGGTGGCAGATGGCTCAGCTAAAAAAACAAAAAAAAATACTTGAAAAGAGATAACGGGGAACATTAAGAATTAATTTTATTTTAAATTATATGAATTCCAATGCTATTTTTCTAATACAAACAGCAGAGTTAAAGCTCTCTAGGTGACAAAATGTTAAAAAATAAAAGTACATAAAAATAATTCAACTTGAAACACTGTTAAAAAAGTAAAAGGATTTTCCAAGTGCAGTAATTGTTCCTTTCTGTCCTAAGTAAAACTGTGGAATCCCTTGCCAGATTTTCTATAAACTTTTTGCAATAGTGAAGAATTCTTAATACTGTTGCTTTCAGATAGCCCTTCCTATCCCTAAAGTTACAACAGAAATTGGTTTTGTCTATGCATATGGTCTTGTCCTCTTTTCCAAACACCATGGAATTAAGACAGAAGAGAGGTACACCGACATGGAGGGTTACATTTTTTGGGTTTCCCCAAATGATAATATGATGTATTTTAAATCAAACACAAAGGCAACTTACTATAATTAGCTTATTTCTGCAAAATGGGTTGGTAATGAGCCCTTATTTCTATCTTTTTTTTTAGCTGAGCCATGCTGCCACCTGTTGGCAGCTCGGCGACAGCTCAGCTCAGGCCAGGAATCGAACCGGTGACCCTGTTGTTCAGAGCTCACACTCTTGAGCGAGCTCTTAACCAACTGAGCCACTCGGCCAGCCCTTATTGCTATCTTTTTTTAATAAAATAGATAGAGCCCCCAAACTGTAAATGAATTATACTAGGGATATTTATACACTGGTTGTTAAAAAATTTTAAACAAATTTTCTCACAAATTCAATATTATAAATAGTAGTTCTGTCTGTAACTAGGTCCTAGATGCTTACATGTGGTATTAATAGGGCAACTTGGTGTTATGGAAAAACCTGTTTTAGAAGAGATTTCTTCCTTTTTCTACCTGTGATAAAAACAATAAATGTGGGTTGGAGTCTTGGAGATTAGTTATAAGAAGAAAATTCTAAGCAGCATTAGCAGAATACAGGAACTACAAGTTTATGTAGCTATATTAGCCAGGAAAATGAGATCCTATTAAGATTGGGTGTTCATATATGAGAGAATCTTAAGTGGAAGCTTTAACTCTCCATTGGGCACAACTGATCTCACAGATTCATTGTACACAAATTTTCAAATATCTAACAGTTAAGTATCGTGACTCATCGCTTCTGTTTCTTCCCCCTCTACCATAAACTATCGCCGGTTGTGTTTGTGACTTAGTACAGTAAAGACGTTATTTCATAGCGGCATCTTTGTGTGCAATGAATCTGTGAGATCAGTTGCACCTGATGGAGAATTAAGAAGGGGAGGGATTACCGAAACATTTCTATATCCCAGTCTACCATCCTGAAGTATAATTTGTCTAAAAGACAGTAACTCCATATCACTCCTGTCATCAAGTGTTAGTCAACAGTCACTGCTTTATGTCATATTAAAAGTATAACATACAAAGAAAATTTCTGTGTGGTTAAAAGCAACAAAATGAAATGCTTCTTTAAATTTCTCACAATTTTTCCTTGACTTTAAGCTAAGAAATTTGAACAAAACTCCATTTTCAGTACTGAGTATTTAGGTACCCGTTCAATTCTTTCTCTGGTCCTTTCAGTTCCTACAGGAACTTCATGAATATGATACTGGCTGCAAAGGTAACTCATGACGGGAGCAGGTGCATCGAACAACTCTCTCAAGTAAGAGAAAAATCCGTATTGTCTGAAAAAAGAGGCATCTATTAGGTTAATAAATCTGATAGTTGACAAGTGGCCAACAAACAACAAATAAAATGAAGTCTCTTTGTACATTTTAAAATCACTTAAGGTTAATATTAAGATTCATTTCCTTGTCAAGGTTTAATATTAATATATTTATGATTACAAACTATTAATCTGTTCTTTTGTTGATTCTTCCATTGCTTTTATAGTTAGACTGCCTACTTACAGCCAGAGTTAAGATATTTACTTATAATTGTTTTGTAATTGCAATTTTTCCATTTAGTCCTTCTGGAAATTACTTTTGCATTATTAAGTGATGGTTTATCATGTTATTTTTCCAATAACTAGCCAACTATTTTAGTATCTTTTATTAAATAGTCCAACAATGCTTCACTGATTTAAAACATCATCATATATTAACTATACCATGGCCTGTTCCTGGATTTTTTCCTATTTTAGACTTAAGTAGCAATCCTAAAAGGGAAAATACTGCCTATAACAAACATATTTATGTGACAAAGAGATAATTAAAATATATTTAAGAGGTAAATGATTACTCAATATTCAAAACTAACAGGTTAGTTCTAATAATATTTTCAAGACTTACTTTAGTTCATTCAAAGATATTGAAGGTGCTCTGTCTGCATATGAAATCTTGGGAGCAAGCACTGTATTTACTCTCCATTTTTTATGGTCACGAACCTGAATGTAAGGAGAAGAAAATATTTTAATTACCATCTACTATCAATTAAAAGGACTTTTAAAGTTAACATATTCCTACTGGCATTCATGGGATGATCAGAAATTCAAACACTGACATGATATTTAATGGTACTTACGAGAAAAAATTTTTAGCGTGATAATGATATTATAGTTATGTGTTTATATTATAGTTATGTGTTTTTACAAATAGTCTATTTCTTTTATCATTTTCACTGATCAATTCTATGAAACAGTAAAGAAAGCAATAATACCAGAACTCTTTCAGAAAATAAGAGGAAAAGACATTTTGCAGGTCATTTTAGGATACCAGCATCATCTTGATAGCAAACCTGACAAAAACATTATAATATCATTCATGCACATATATGCAAAAATCTTTAACAAAATATCAGTAAACAGAATCCAGCAGTATATGAACACTATACATGACCAAGTAGTTTACCCCAGGAATGAGACTGATGTAACATTAAAAAAAAAAATCATCCAATCTAATGTATTAATATTAACAGGATAAAGTACAAAAGCCATAACATTATCTCACTAGCTGCAGAAAAAAACATTTGACAAAATTCAGTAGCCATTCGTGATAAAAATTCTCAGCAAACTAGGAATAAAAACTTTCTCAACTTGAAAGAGCGTCTATGGTAAATGTACAGCAGGTATAATAATGGTGAAATATTGAATGCATTCCCTCTAAGACTGGGAAAAGCAAGGATGTCTATCTTGCTACTTCTCTTTAACACTGTCATGAGATACGAGGCAATGTAGTAAAGCACAATAAAGAAGCAAAAGAATTCCAGGATCAGATGGCTTCACTGGTGAATGTTGACAAACATTCAAAGAAGATTTAATACCTATCTTTCTCAAACTCTTCCAAAAAATTGAAGAGGGAATCCTTCCTAACTCATTTTATGAGGCCAACATTACCCTGACACCAAAACCAGACAAGCACAACACAAAGAAAATTATAGGCTAATATCTCTGATAAGCATAGATACAAAAATCCTCAACAAAATAGTAGCAAATCGAATATAAGAATACACAGAAGAAAACATGGGCACTCAACTTATGGACCTTGGTCTCAGAGGGGTTTTTGTGAACTTGACCCAAAAGCAAGGGAAGAAAAAGTGAAAAGTAAATGAATAGGACTACATAAAATTAAAAAGTCCTATACAGCGAAAGAAACCATCAACAACAGAAAGGCAACCAACCAAATGGGAGAAGATATTTGCAAACAGTACCTTTGATAAGGGATTAATATCCAAAATATATAAAGAACTCATACAACTCAACAAAAAACCCCCAAACAATCCAATTAAAAAATAGGCAGAAAATCTGAACAGACACTTTTCCCAAGACGACATAGATGGCCAACAGATATACAAAAAGATGCTCAACCTCATTAGCTATAAGGCAAATGCAAATCAAAATGAGATACCACTTCACACCTTTTAGAAGGGCTACTATCAGTAAGACAAGAAATAAGTATTGGAGAGACTGTGTGAGAAAAGAGAATCCTCGTACACTACTGGTGGGAATGTAAACTGGTGCAGCCTCTATGGAGAATTGTATGGCGGTTCCTCAAAAAATTAAGAATAGAGTTACCATATGACCCAGCAATTCCTCTTTTGGGCATCTATAATACCTGAAAAATTTGAAAACACTTTTTCGTAAAGATGTATGTATCTCTGTGCTCACTGCAGCATTATTCACAATAGCCAAGACAGGGAAACAACCTAAGTGTCCTTCAACAGATGACTGGATAAAGAAGACATTACACACACACACACAAACACACGATGGCATACTACTCAGTCACAAAAAAAGCATACTGACATTTGCAACAACATGGATAGATCTTGAGAGTATCATGCTAAGTGACAAGTCAGATGGAAAAAGACAAGAACCATATGATTTTACTCATATGTGGAATATAAAACAAAGTAATAAACCAACCAAAAAGTCATAGACACCGACAACAGTATGATGGTTACTAGAGGGGAATGGGGAGGATGAAGAAGATAAAGAGGGTGAAAAATACGATGACAGAGAAGATTAGACTTTGGGTGGTGAGCACACAATGTAATATACAGATTAAGTGTTACAGAACTGTACACCTGAAACTTATATACTAATATTAACCAATGTTACCCCAATACATTTAATTTAAAAGACAAGTAAAAGATTGAAAAAGAACAAGTAAAAAGATCTGTAAAGACAAACGTTCTATATAGAAAATCCTATGGAATCTACAAAGCAACTACTAGAATTCAATAAGTGAATTCAACCTAGTCACAAGATACAAGGTCAATGTAAAATAATTATATGTCTATGCACTAGCAATGAACAATGGAAAAACGAATTTTAGAAATCCATTTATAAATGTCAAAAAACTATAAAATACTTAGGAACACATGTGACAAAAGATATCTAAGACACTATACATGGAAAAAGATCAAACAGTGCTAAGAGAAATTAATGGAGGTGTGATGAGATGGTGAAACTGAAGAATTTTATGGTGGCACAGATTAGCAATTCTTGAAACTACTTTCACAAAATTCTAGGCTTAAACAAATGAGTAAATATATTGTTGATGAGCGGGGCTATGTTTTTCATGGAAATAAATTACAGAAATACAAAAGAGAAAGACTAGAAGGTGCACTGTTGTGTTGGATTGTAGTTGTAGTATCACTGTCAACTCATGGTACATTAATGTTCTTTTGCTCTCTACGTAAACATAGAAATATAGATGTGTATAAGGGTTTGCATGCAAAGACATAGAGAAGAAATGAGACACTAGTAGCAAAGAACACATCTAGTACCCAGATCTTGAGGAACTAGGGTTCTTGAGGAAAAGGGCTGTTAAGGCCCAGACTAAGTTCAAGATGAGTCACATCTTGTTCTGCCAAAAAGTAAGCAATGTTCAACATATTATGGCAATATATCAATAGAACACAGGAGTTAATTTGAAGAAGGTCTCACTGGCCAAACAAATCTGGAACAATCTGAATATTAAAATAATGATAGCAATGGATTATGATCCATAAAAAAATAAAATTATGAATCTATATAAGTGAATAAAGAAAGAAAAAGCTCTTTCACATAGGATGCCAGCTAATAAACATAGAAGGAATGACTCAGAATCATTAATGATTCTTAAACATACTAGATAGTTTCATGAAGAACAGGATATTACACATTCTCAAAGAATCTCCACACACATAATTACAAAGAGAAAAATAGTTTTGCTATAATGCTTGTTTTGAAGGCAAATTTGTTCCAAGCAATTGATATATTGGGGGACAATTTAAACATTACATAATTTCACACTGGCTTATGTATAATTTTATCTGTAAGAAATACAAGGTGTTCTCTAAGTGAATGCAGAAAACTATGCCCAAACGAACTGAGCTGCATAGGAATACACAAAATTTGTGCACAAAATACACACACATACAAACTCCTCTCAAACACCTACCAGCTACCTTAGGTCACTACATGTGTCATGAGCCACACCCAACCACATTTGGCATTGCAACTTTCCATCTAGTTTCAGATAAGCGCTTTTAATTGTTTGACCCACTACACAATTCACAAATTATCCCTTCCAATGCCTACTTCCACAAGCCAACTTCAGGTCTTTTTAAAAACAAAGTAACATATACTGTATTTGTATATTTTGTGACAGTTTAAAATGTGTAAAACTATGCTATTTTCCCCCCATAGGCTCTATGGGTTTTTACTGCACAAGTTTGTATAACATAGTGATTTTTAGGAATGTATGCATTGGGTTATAGCAAAACTGTACTTTGCAATGGGAGAAATTATGAACAAAGAGGGCAAAATGTAAATAATTCGTGAATCAGGATAAAAGGTATACAGAATTTCCATGTATATGCTTGCAACTTTTCTGTAAGCTTAAAGTTATATCAAAATAAAAAGTTATTAAAAGGAAATAAAGGTCTGAAGGTATAGATGAAACAATATTGGTCATGGGTCAATCTATCAATGATGCTAGTATCTAGGGTTCATTTAAGTTTTTAAAATGTATTGTTTTAGTGGTTACACTAAGTAAAACTGAATTACACAATGAGAAAATAATATCCTTTTCAATTTCCTTTCAATACCCTAATCATACCAAGGGGAGAAAGTTGCTGTATGTTGTCAGCATGTACTTAACTCATTATCTCCTTTGAAAAAACATCATGTCTTCTTTTCAGAAAGCAACAGTACAGATCTAGGATTTACTCAACTATTTTTATTATCTTTATTGTTAGGCAAATTATTTGCTTTGTACTTTGGTAGATATTATACTTCCTTTCATAATATTTTGAATAAAAAATGATTTAAAGAAAAATTTAGAGTATAGTTAATACTCAGAGATGACAAAAATTGTGATGGTAGTATACTAAATGGCAAAACTGTGAAGATGGTTTGTAAGTTACTAAAGAATGGGAAATGTACTCTAGTAGATACAACTACAGAAGCAGCTTATAGTCAATAAATTTTACAATTTAAAATACACAAAAAATCATGCATAGAAGAGGAAATTCTGGTCTTACTGATGAGAAGCTATGGAAAGTTAATTGTTTACAGCACAAGAAAAAATACAGGTCAAGTTTTCAGAAACCAATGTCATCTTATCAATATATGGTTTAAATACTCAGCACAGAGGAAGCATGGATTTTTGAGGCAAAGCAAGGTATTCAGTGTAGGCTAAGCTGGCAATTTGCAAAATAGAAATCATCTACTAAGACCTAATTGAACACCCTTCACAGTGTGCCATGTCACACAGACTTGTAACCCAAGCAATTTACTTCTTCAATAAACTGACAACAGATTACTAACTCACTGGTTAGGCTAAAATAGCTCTAAAATACACAAATGTTTAACTTTTTTGGAATCCATTTTATAATTTTATTCATTCAACCTTTTTATCCAGTCACCATATATTCACATTCTCTGCCAACTCCCAAACCAAAAATCTTTTGACGTAGATAATTTATCTCCAATTTAGCGATGAGGAAACTTAAAGCACAAAACATTTAGGCAACTTGCCCAAGCTACAATAGTAGCAAAGCCAGAATTCAAATCCTGACAGCCTATCTATAGAGCCTATGCTCTTAATTACTAAGCCATGCTTCCTTTCAGTGGCTTAGATTCTTGATCAGTAGTGTCTTCTAGCCAGATGCAGGATTCTCCTTTTTGAAGTGGTTTTATTTATATCATAACAACATCATATTGATTTCCCATCCAAAGAAAAACTGAGTTCATCTCAATGCATTTACCAAAAGGATGTTCAAGACCAAAGGTCCAGCATCATGATGTTTCTATCTCTTAAACACAGAATTACTTGTCATAGTAATTCCAAATGATAATTTCAAAACATGTTACAGAAGGAATTATGGGCTGTTAAAATAAACTCATTCCCTAATAATGGCATAGATAAGAAAAAATTCAGCAAAATTGAGTGATTTTTACACAAGAGTTACTGCTGGTAAAACTAATCACTTTTTGTTTTAGTATGAATTTTAAAATTCATTAAAAGATAAGTGCCAAGTGAGTCAAAATATTATTATATTAGTACTTGCCTCTTTGAGGAAAACTTCCATATCTTCTTGACTCTCAAATACAAAGGCTCTCAAGTCATTTGATGAAATATGATTTTCAATATATTTGGCATTTTTATTATCTTTCATATTGATCTAAACAAAAAGAAAAAAGTTGATTTCCATGAAATCCAAACTGATTACTATAACACAATTATGTTTAACCTAGATTTACTTAAATTTAATGCCTGAGAAAAAGGGAGACAAAAACAACAACTTGGTATTGAAGGGTCAACATTGTAAAACATCTATTTAATCAAATTTATTACTCTGAAACATCCAATACATAGTAGCAATTTTGATATTCTCTAATAAATAAGTTCCTTTCTGATCAACTCATTGAAAACACTGAAAAAGTCTTAGATTGTAACCTAAGTGTATAAACATTTCTCATGTCCCCAAACTTTTAAATATTTTTCTTCTTAATCTTTGATAGGAATTCATACTCTATATGGCAATAACCAATTGGCACAAAACCACAAAGAAATGCACAAAACTTTATGAAACTAATGGAAAATAACTAGCTATGAATTAATTGTAACTGTTAGTCTTCAAAAGAAACCCAAGGTTTGTACCACTGGAGCATAAACTTAATGATTTATTTTAAAATATTAACTAATTTAAAAAAAAATATTAGCTAATTAGGCATTTCATCATGTTGAGATTCACTGGTACTGAAGATACTAAGATATAAGATAGGTCAGGAAAACAAATTGTTTCAAGGAGAATACAATTTATTATTTATTGCAGATGACAAGTATATTGAAAAGCAGAGCATAAGTCTTCATAACAGAGGTGTATAAAAAAATGCTAGGTAGGGCCGGCCGAGTGGCGCGATGGTTAAGAACTGGCTTGGGACGCCAGAGGGCCCCGGTTCGGATCCCACATAGGAGGGCCAGTGACACTGCCCTCTACAGCTAAGATGCTGAACAACAGCTCA